AGGTTTTAAATATTCTTGGAGACAGCGGATTGCGATCCACTGCACTCGTACTGGTCCTTATAAACAACGTAAGGTCGGTGACCTTATCTCAGCTTTCTCTACGCAAAGAGCTACGATACCTCGCTGCAACTAGTCCATAAATTTACAAACTTTATAAATAGCAGTACGAAATAACAACACCACTTTTTATAGGCTCTTGGTTTGCGCCTTGAAGACATCCTCTGTTTTATAAACGCTGTCTCCTAGGGTCAAAACTCCCTCTGTTCGAAGTATCACTTGTATTCAATTTTGCGATCGAGTCATGGAGAAAATGTCTTTTCGGCGAGATCAAATGTGAATGTGAGGTACATCGACCAGCTTAACTAGCTTTTGTTTATCTCTTGACCCAATGAAATCAAAGAACCAGCGGGCTAAGGGTAAAAAGCGGTGGGGGAGCTGAGCTACGAACGATCACCTCAACTTTCTCTTGTTAACAACCCCACTCTCCTGCTGTAACACATACTTACCAAGGGTACTATTCACTACATGTTAGCTTACCTTCTTCCGGTGGGAAACGCCCTGTAATGGAGGACCCTGTCACTTTTTTACAGGACATGAAGGCCAAGGGTGCGTCAGGGCATGGGAGGTCACGGTATCAGGGAAAAGGATTCTCACATTCTTATGTATATTCAGAACTGATAGCAACTCTTGTACTTAAGCATTTGTGAATGTAAAAGTGGTCCGTTCCTTGTCCATCAAGCATTGCCATCAGATGATGACCCGCCCACCGCTGGCTCCCGTGAGATCCCTTGGACGTCAATGGGTGACGTCAAAATAGCGACATGCAACAACTTATAGTCGGGTGACGCGAACGCGCATCAGCGCCAAAAATAGGCGATCAGGCATATTCTTCGACTTGAAAATTTTTCGGCAAAGAAGGATAATTATCTCTATTCTCTGTGACCGATGTAGTGACGTCGTAACTGTGTACAACGACGCATGTTATACATGTCTTACAAAGCGGCTGAGTGGCAAACAGTGCACCCTAAACTTGACGAGGACATACTTCATTGCAAGTAGCTTCTTTGCATAAACGGGGTAGATCCTCTCATCAGCTTTCATCTTGCGAGAATCAAACCCAATTGCGTATCATTCCCATCGGCTCATTCTTTGAGCAAAGCCTATTGCAAAGCAGTTTGCAAGGCCACTTCTTAAATCCTTTCGGGATAGAGGCACTAGCCCCCTTCATCTTCGCAGGAGCTGTCCGCAGGATCTCCTTCTCAGAGAAGCAATTCAAAAAGAGCGCTACAGACATCCTTGTCGGTATTGACAAATAGCATTTTCAAGCGCATATACTCAGTGGCGGCTCGCTAGAGTTCAGCGCGATTTTCCATATCCAGCTTCCGTGCCTTGCACGATAACGGACTGAATACGAGATAGGTTTGTGCATAGCCGTTATGTGGTCAAAAAATTGCATCACCAGACCACTGATAAAGCGTCGCTAGTATGATAGACATATATAATGGCATAGTAGTCACACACCGAGAATTCCGCTCAGAGTACATACTGCAGTGAGATAGTTATTGCGGTCTCTCATCGCCACTAAAAGATGGCGATGAGAGACCGCAATAACTATCTAAATGCAGTATGGTAGAGAGCACTGGACAAAGTGCAGCTGATCACGCTATTCAGTAGCACACGGACATTGCGATTAGTTTATATTAACCACTTTAAATGACGCACCTCTTTATCCTTCAACGTCACGCTTAGTGCATCTTTCGTCACACTGTCATGATATTTTTTATATTAAAGAGTTGGAAGGATAGGTAGGATCCTATAAAGTAGCTCTCTGCGAGTGTTTATAATGATGAATACATCCATGACGAATAAGGGGCTCGGCTCCTCCTCTGATACCAACAGTACTATTTTTGCGACCTCGCCATCTAGCGATTTCTTGCATACATTTCCGAGGCAATACAGAAAACACCAGCTTATAGCTTCATCGTCGACTATAGAGACACTCTGAAGACTTCGACGTTTTAACCCATGGCTCGTGGCTTGCAAGTCACGCCTAAAGTATTTATATTCTAGATTCACATTCAGGACGAGACAGTGTTTTACGCTGTCAATGTCAGTAAACTTCACTTGAAATTTTAGTAAAATGTTAGACACTTCACCAGTCACGTCGGCAAGACGGTACAAACACCCACGCTTTAAATCTTGCAACGTTGGGAATGTCGAAGTACTGCACGTCAGTGCCCATTTTCGCGCACGGTCGGTCTTTAAGCTTAAAATTCGCAAGCGCGGCAGGCTGGTGGTCGTCTGGAGCAAGACCGAATTGTTGGACATTATTTAACTTCCTTTCTCCAAAGGGAGATTTTTTTGTGGTTTGTATTTAATGTGTAGACGTCCAACATTGCATCCTCATGGTGGGTGCCATTTGTGTTCCCATTGACTCCCGAATGAAACGTTTTTGACAGTGTTTTGCCAGCGCAGTCTTATACCTGGTTATACTTCCAGGCAAGCGATATCGCTCCTGGTCCTTCGGTCGCCGGATTCAAGATTGTATCGAGGCCAACTTAGCATCGACTTCGATCTTATTATCTCAGGGGCAGGTGTTTGAACATCTTGTTCTCCATTCTCACAGAGATGGACGTTCACGACTTGTTCGTTGGACTAATTATTAGCGCGATCAGGTGCAATGGGATCTCCGTGCACACTCTTTAAGTCAAAGAATGTGCGTATACAACAGGGTTCGAGCGCTCCACCCAGCGGCGGAAGTGAGAACCCTGAAGTATCAGTGCTAAGTTTGCTAATCTAGTTCACGAGTGACACATATTTAGAATTGATAAAATTTTGCTAAAAATAAATATGTGCGTTTATTACATTCATTCAATAAAAATATTATTGCTTGACGTGGAGTGGATGATCTCTATTATAATCTTAACTTTGGAGCCTCAAATATCGTACGAACACACTAAGAATTCGCATGCGATGTATGCCAGCTGCCTCCTTGCTGCTAAGTAAGACGGCTCAGGCGCTGACCATATCTAACCCCATGTCCAGTTGGCGTCTTTGGTACTATCTATGGTCAATTCTTCATTAAGCTTTCCAAGCTGGCCAAAATATTGGGCATGAGCCTCTTGTGTCATCCGACGCACGACGCTCTTTATCTTCAATCGCATTTCTGAACACTTTAAATGAGGAAAAGGACAGTAAAAGCCTGACCAATCTCGTGTCATCAGCATTGTCAACTTGATTCATCTGGAAAGACACATGGATCTATACCCGTTTATGCTAAATTTCTAATAAAATTATGCGCTTTTTGCATAAGAAGAACACGCAAGTTAGTACAAGCGTCTTGCTGGTGGTAGCACGTATGCGAGAGAGACAGCCGCCATGACCAGTTCCACTCTTACGTGGGCATGTGAGCCATTTAATGAGCTACCATTTTGAAACCGAATGCCGTACCCCCCCATCACACTATGGGCCTTTTCCGGTCAGTAGAGCCTCCTCCCTCCCAACTAACACACACCCATTTGGGTGCGGGTTGGCAGGGCGATCACACCAAGGAGCGTGATTGCTCGTCCATTTTAGTTACCTATCTTCGGCCTCCTTGATTCCGATCCTTTGAGTGTCGAATCATGTACCTCTTGCTCTCAGGCCAGGCTACTAACCACTTGATCCAGGGGTCAGTTAAGGGCTGACAATAGGCGGACAATCTATGTCAGATAGACAGATGGGATTGAAAACAGTGACTAGTTTTACCGCACACCACCGTTCATGCCTGGTCTGACCACATGCTGATACTGCGGACACGTGGGTTGCTAGCCTCACACAATACATTAAGGTGGGTAATACTATCGCAGATGGTAGAACGTTCACATTGTCGCCAATTTGAGCTGATTTCAATCAGTGCTAACATTCAGCCCTTTCGATATAGTACTCAAAAGAATTTGGGACTTCAGTCAATCGTGGCCTCGCGTGCAAGTAGCTTTTTTAAATCAATGATCTGTAAGGTCTTACGTGAAATATCGAGTTAAAGATGCTCTGTGAAAAGTGTTGCGACAACCCTTTATACAAGGAGCAGCTGTCAGCAATCAGATAGATGACAGAGTCCTAAGAATCTGTTAAGGCGAAAAATATGATATTACTTACTACTGCCATAGTCATCACGACACGCTTATTGTTATGGTCCGTCCATTACATAGGTAGGTAGAATGTCTTACATAAGTAGGTAGAATGTCTTACATAAGTAGGTGCATCAGTATACGATTAACGCGCATTGTATTGCTATCATTCTTTTGGCTGACATATGGGGTTCCAGATCCATTATCAGCCAATTAATCGATGACGTATAATTGAGCGGCCAGGGCTTTATCCTGGTCCTCAAATAAATAGTTAGATTCTTGAAAAACCTAAGACTTGGTCACTCTATCGCGAGCTTCTTCAACACTATAGTGTACGTGAGTAATGAAGTGATAACCTGACCCGTTACTCCTGATAGCACTTGTATTACTTCCAATGACAAAGCTTGACACGAGCCAAGACCTCGACCACGCTGCTTGCTCCCACCTCACTCGGACTAGTGGGAAGCTTCCCGCCGCCTCGCGGTGGTGTCCGGAGAGTGGTCGTCATGTTGCTGCTGTGCTTAGCGCCGATCGACCACAGCGTCTAGCGGCACAAGAATTTATGGAACGTGACATCGCCTATGCAAATCGACGAGTGTCAACTTCCTCGCGCAGTTTCAAAAATGACGTCGCTTAAACTAGAGACGTCAATGTACTCCGAGGTCTTCAAAGACCGACCTTCGCTGAATCGATGGTTTTGAGTAATCGATATTGCCATCGCTTCAAGAGTGAGCGAGGCGCCGTCTGCAAAGGTCAACTTCCTCCTGTCGCGCTGTCCGGTAAGGCCAAGGAATCAGCTCTCGGCAAGTTGGTGACCTCCGGCTCGCGTTTGAGCCGCTTCAGCATGAATTCCACATTCGGGCGGATTTCCTTGCACTCCATCAAGATACGATGTCCATGCATGACCACGTCCAAAAGACTCGTCACCACGCGTCGTATACTGTGTCCAAGGTCATTGTCATGGCCTCCCAGGTGCACGTGTTTGGGTTCGGCATGTGCGAAGGAACGACGGGCTATTGCCTTACGCGAGCCAAGCCCTCCACGCTCGAGGAGGCATTCGCTTTTGTGTTGCTTAGGACTACGTGGTGGCAACATTCTATGCACGTGCACTGTCCGCTAAAGCTGGGAAATCTGCGCTTGAGCCAATGGAGATCAACGTCATCGATGCGTCAAACAACCGCCAACATCATAGCACATCGTAACAGTGGTCGAGGCGGTCGATCCTTAAACTGCTTCTGTCGACGGAAGGTCGATCACCGCGCACCAGCGTTAGCGGCAGTGCTTGCGCATGCTGATGCCGAGCCTGTATCTGCCGACCAGCCAAAATTCGGTCTGGGTCAGTAGGTGAGTGGCGCTTTACTGGCTGGAATGGAAGTCCGGGTCTCCCGGTGGCAACTCACCCCCTAGCCCTCCCGTGCTGAATGCACACTTCAATGCCGACACCACGCAGAATGACTCAAGTCTGATCATCGACAGCCTTAAGTTAGCCGATCCGCCGCGTCGCGCGACGTGAGGTGATATTACCATATAGGTTCGACGAACTCTGAAGCGATGACGAATTTCTCTCGATCGAGATGAACTACGCGTTCAACTGCATCCTGGGTACGCCGTGGCTGTCTCGTTACCAACTAGAGATTGACCGTTTGGCCCGGTCAGTCAAACGTCGCAGTGACTTTGACGTGAGCGCGGTGTTCACCAACCTCCTGGTCACCCAGAAGAAATGGCCTCACGTTACCGTCGTGAATGATCGATCTACCACGCATGTTGTGCACAGAGCGAGCGATGGCCCTCTCTGCACGGGCTTCTACACGATGAACCCTCGTAGCGATGCAAGGCCAGAGATTAATTGACGGTCGAGCAGCGGCTCCCGCTCAATAACCCGTTGACGGTCGAGCATGGGCTCATATCGATTGAGCCAGTGGTCGAGCAGTTGGCGCTCCCCCTGAGGTAGGGCTGCGACCTTGTCCAGCGAGAGCGAATCATCATCCTCGAGTTTGCACTTAAGGCGGTGAGCAAAGAAATCCAAGCGACGTCGACTGAGTCTACGTCGAGAGTTCGTGCCAAGTGACTGTCAACCAACGGAGTCAGTCTTCGTGCTTGAGTGTACGGAATGCACGGCCGGTCGCCAATGAGCGATGAAACTTGCAAGTCCACCGCAAAACGCACAGTCGATCGCCCGACTTACAGGCCGTTCCTAGAAGAACTTCTTCGCGATATCGAGGACGGCACAGTCGGACAGGTCTGCCTGATCACCGACGTTGATCGATTTCACTCGCCCAAAGAGAGCGGCCCACGAGGCGCGCTTTGCAGCGCAATCATGGGAAGCGCTACGCGTCTTTGGCAGCCCAGTCTACGAGACGGTCCAAGAATACGAAGATATTTTCCTGGATGAGATCCCAGCCCAGCTCTCGGCTGACCGAGGGATACGCCACGAGATTGATCTCGTGGCCTGCTCAAACAACTCCGTGACGCGGCAGTGGCCACTGCTGTGGGATCAAGTCAAAGCCATTAACGACTTCTTTGAGAGCCGCTGCGAGGCGGTTCATGTGCATGAGAGCACATCGCCACACTCCAACCGGACGTTCTGCGTGAAGAAAACCACGGGTGGCGCATCGACCACGTCTTCTACAAACAGAATGACGCTATCATTCCTGCACAGACGCCGAGTCCTCGGAAGAACATGATGCTCGACGCCATGTCGGATAGCGTGATCCACAGCGCCATCGACTTGATCGATGGGTTCTATCGAATCCTTATGATGTCGAACGATTTATCCGAATGCTTTGGGAGGACTCGTCATGCCGCAAGGTCTGAAGAATGCTCTTGCCACATTAATAGCATGGTCCCCCATGTGCTGCGTCCGCTTTATCATTTTGCTCTGGGTTACTTCGACGGTATCTTGGTACACAGTCACGCTGAGGAAGTCCCCAGCGCTCTAGAGGCTTATTTACAACACCCGCGGCGAGTCTTCCAAGTGATGCACGAGAAAAAGCTGAACGCGAATTTGAAAAAGCGCATCTTCTGCGCGCCGGGAATCCCGATGCGTTGTTCGTGCTGACCCGAAAAGGTGTCTTTGATACGCGCATGGCCAACGCCACAGATCCCCACTGAGCTACGTCTGTGGCTGGGCCTCGCCAATTATCTCCACAAGTACACGAAGAATAATGCCGGATAAGCTCGTTTTCGGCTTCTCGCAGTGCGCTACGCTCCGATCAAGTTCAAAGTGTACTTACTGGGTAAGAAAACCTTTGCTGTACACTGATCATGGTTTGCTGAGGTCAGCATTGAAGAGTCCACATATCTCCCAGCGAATGGTCCGCTGGTTGTCATTCGTCTCTGAGCACAACTTCGTCGTCCTCTATAAGCTGAGCAAGAACAAGTTTTTCACCGCCGCTATGTCTTGGTGTCCCGACTACGACCCACGTGGCTCGCTGGATTGACAAGCGATGCTCGACGAAGGCGGTGTAGACGAGTGTGCTGCGTGCGAGGCGTCATGCGCGAACCTGACGAGTGTTCTCAGGAATTGTCACTTCGCGACGAGTCCGTCCTGCTTACGGACACGATTCGACGTACTCCAGTATTCTTGAGCATCTTCGCTCTCCCAACGTCGATACGCTGGGAAGTTCTCTCAATCCGTACGGAACTAGATTCATCGTAATTGTCTTGACGATGGTCTGCTAACCTACAGCATCAACAGCTTCGATTCTTCCCGAGTAAACGTGCCCAATGACCCCGACCTGTACCAACGAATCATCACGAGTGACACGATGCCCCGCTGGGCGCTCATCTCGATCGAGAGAAGACCTTAGCCGCCTTGTCTCGCGACTTCTTTTGGCCCCATCTTTACAAATGGGTACGAAATTGGGTGCGCATATGCGAGATTTGCCAGCGTGTGAAGCCTATGTCGTCGTCACAGGCTTCTGTGCGATCTCTTCCATTGGCCACCGAGGTCTGGCGCTCGGTGTTGATGGACTTTATCTTTGGTCTATCAACCTCTGAACACGAATTTTCAGGTTTCTTGGTGTTTGTCGACCGCATCAGCAAGATGATCATCTAATTCCGGTGTCGGATAAGATCGCCGCGACTAACACTCCGGCGCACTTCATTAATGCCGTCTTCCGTCATCATGGTCTCCTTAAATCCATTGTCTCCGACCGGGATCCGCGCTTCACGTCGGCCTTCTGGTTGGTGCTCTTCAAGATCCTTGGCTCGAGGTTGTTAGTGCCCATAGCAGCTCACTTGGTAACGGCTGGTCAGAAAAACCGCGTTTCCATGTCCCCGGAGGCGTGCTTAAGAAATATACAACATCATTCCTCAGTTGGAGCTCGATCCTGCCTCTCGCCGAGTTTGCAATGAACAACGCGGTACACGCGTCGACCGGGTTGACGCCTTTCATCGTCGGCAGCGCGCGGCACCCGCGCGTTCCTGCTCTTCTCGCTCCAGGCTACCCCAAAGTGCCGCGATTATTCACTCTAGGTAGGAGAGAAGCTAACGCCACGCCGCCTACTCCAGCTCCCGCGCCGCAAGTGACTTCGTCGGAGCCTGATCAACTTGTACGAGCACTGGTTGCTAATGACTTCTCGGGTGTATCCCCAGAAGTCGTATCGGTTAACGCTGTGACAAGTTCCCAGGCCAAAGACAAATCGAAACTTGATTATCCCCGATGCTGTTAACCACGCGCGGAGGCAACCGGCGCGACAGATTCGACTCCGCTGCCGTCTCTGACTTCGTCCTACTACGCCAAGCAGTCACGCGATATGTTATAGATGCACTGTAGGACGCGGTGAATAAGCAGAAATAAAATGCCGACAGGACTACCCCGCAAGCACATAAACACACGCTTACGACAATGTTCGTGTCGACTGCTGGTATTCGAGACGCTGCAGCTACCGGTCTCGGCGCGAGAAAGCTCGCATCACGCTTTATTGGACCGTTTACGGTAACGACGGTTATGGTGACGCCTAAACGTTCGGCATCCTTTAAACACTAGGGCTACCACCGACATTCTAGGCCGGACGATTGAAGAAGTACCATCCGATCGAGATCCCTGACGATGGTATGTCCCCGAGCAGCACGGTGACATTCCAGCGCGATGGACTTCTACCTTTGGTCGACGCTTCAGGCGCTGGATCGTTGAGCGAATCGTTGATCACGACCTACTCCAGTGCCGTAGTTCTCGCGCTGCACAAACTGAATTGCCACACCCTGCAAAACAAGGAAGGACACTATCGCGTGCGTTGACTGGGTCTCTCCCCGAAACAAGAAATTTTGAAGCCACACAGCCGCTTAACGGTAGACATCCCAGATATGATGAACGAGAACAAGACGACACTCACGTCCCATCGCGTGAATAAAGAAGGTGGGTCGTCTCTGTGTGCGCGCGGAGATGTCCACCGTAGTGACTAAGAAGAAACTTGTAGTCGACTCTAGGATTGAACCGATGACCATCTGTACGTGAATTCGCCGATGTACCACTGAACCTCTTGATAAGTGAGCCGAGCGAAAAAATGAATGAGTGAGTGAGTGAGTGAGTGAGCGAGTCAACGACGAGTGAGCAACTTGCAAATTTCCAGCAGTCTTAACCTGTCTCTCATTTCCCTGTCGCTTGTAGTTGTCCAAGCTCGCAGGATGCCCGTGCTCCGAGTTCGCAGTCCTCATCACAACACATCGCTTAATCGCCTGAGTAAAGCTTCAAGTGATGCTGGCGCTCAAAGTCTCAAGCGGCTGGCGTGTCTCTCAAATTTTCCAGTGCCATGAGTGAATGTTCCACCGCTCATCCTGGTACTGGTCTGCTCCACACGAAGCGGTCCCCCCGTATAAAAATTGCTGGTAAACGTACGTCTGCCGAGAAGCCTCAGTGGGACTCGAACTCCCGCGCAGCACTTGGGAGCCAACAGTGTTGCGCACCCAGACTACACTTCTAAAAACTTGAGCCATCAGCGCGTGAAGCGCACTGTAATGTTTGTAGCGTCGCCTCAGCAGCCATCCCGCAAGAAACCCACCACAAGCCTCGACGACGACACCAGCTCCAGTCTTCTCCCACGTTGCCGATCAAGGTTACAGATCGCTGCGATTGCTTCTTGCCAAGCGCGAGCTCTCACCAGCTGGGCACCAGTGCCACGGCGTCGTGAGCACTGTCGTCGCTGTCGCTCCACTTATCTTCTCCGATTATCTCCGTCCGTGCTTATGCTGCGGAAGCGCAACTTTAAGAGGGGGGGCTGATGTAATGGGTCCAATTATTAAATAAGTTGGTAGATCAAGTGCATTAGCACACAAATCATCCTATTAGCATAAATTGGGGAGCCCGACCCATTATTTGCCAATTTGTCGATGACGTGTATTTAAGCGGCCAGGGCTTTTGTTCTGGTCCTAAAAAAGTCTAGATTGAATTTTTCACATACCTAAGACTCAGTCATTATATCTCTGCACTATAGATTACTCAAGTAACGGAGAAATTACTTGGCTCGTTACACCAATGGAGCTTCTGGTTTTGTTTGGTCTTGAAGACAAACACCTGGTGATCCTCGGCCCGGATGTGCTTACAACTCTACCGGAAGCATAAGCGAAAAAGAAAATGCGCTGGTGAAAAATTCCAAAAAAATTACATGAGATATCAGTCGGAGTTTTATCAACTCATGTGAAGCTCTAAAAACAAGACTGCTTTTGTTGAGCATTGATTTTCGTGAAGACAAACATCGAGAGAATCTCACCAGGAGGTTGATGTGGCCATGGAGTCGACCCTGATTCAGACCAATTGACAGCGAGTCATGCTAGCTTTTTCAAGCTAAGTGGTCGCGCAGAGTACTGGGCACTAACGCATTAATTGAGGCCGTCGCAGCGTGAATAACTCAAGCACCATGTGTCGAAGATCTTTGCACAACCTAATCAGATAAATCACGTGTGGTCGTTGCTTATATACACCGGTGACAGTATAAGTTTTTGCTGAACGATATCCAACAGCTAAGGGTGCCTCTATTTAAATTGATTCGCTAAAGGGTCGGTGACAGACAACATTTTAAGCAAGACCTTAGTACAGTTGTAGCTCGAAACCTAAACTTTCCGTACACAAACCAGCTTTTCTGAAAAAGATTGAATATATTGAGCCACCTTCCGATTTCCAAAAGGTAGAGGCTCTGTGATGCACCAGAGGCGAAACTATCAACCGAACTGAGTATGTAATTTATTGGTTGCTGAAAATAAGCGTTTTACACAGTTGTTACAGTTGCGGAAGCGCGAAAAGCTCACGACCTGCGCGTCTCCTTTATCTTGGCAAAGAGGCACAAAGTGTCGAGCTTTCAGACGGAGATAAATCAAATTCAAGTCTCATTTTGCATAAGGCGGCTTGAATCGAGAACGAGCCGGGCTTTCTTGTAACGCGTAGAGTTTGAGATCAATAATACTTATTTTAAAGGGAGCATTCTTTCTCAAAAATTAAAAGGCTCACAGCACAGTCTGATGAAAGTTGGCTTTTTCGTGCTGGAATCCGGTAAGCCACAAAAAGTTCTAATTGATTTCCAAACGTCGTTCAACTCCGTTATTGTCAAACGTAGAAGCTATGGGAAGGGGTTAGATATACCAAGTACAATATCTTATCTATGCGTCACACAGTAGGGCTGTCGAAGAATCTCGTAACTATTAGAATGCTTTGAAAGCCGAATGGCGTGAGGAGATTTTTGGTTTTGGACACGGCTTATATATACAAATTCATCCTCTGTATAGCCTGTCCGGAACACAAATAGCCGTAAACTGGAAGTCGAAGACATTGAGTGCCACACAATTCCCTTCGATCAACCAATTGTTATATCACGCTCCAACCTCTGAAAGCAGAAGCATCTTTGGTGCTAGCTGAAGCTGCGTCAGCTAGTGGATACGTGGGTAGTTACCGACGATAGTGCGAAGATCTTCGAGCAAGGCTCGTGGTGCAGAAGCGGCTGTGAGTCGGGTTTCGCTCAAGTGTAGCTCGGAAGAGCGACCACGTGTCGTGAATTTCAGAGTTCTATCGGTGGAAGAAAGTAAAAACTCTGTATCAGGGGCTCCAGAGCAACCCTCTAAGGTATTTGAGTCGCAAGTACACCTTCGAGTTCCTGGTGCTTTCGAAAATTGTGTGTTCTCGTCGCAGTGTGACTTTTCCATTGAGTCGGCAACATTGCGTGCAGTAAACGGTGTTGTTCATTCATATTTTATGTGTCTGTGACGAGCAAACCAGTTGTCTAGAACAGCGAAGGGCACTACTGCATGACTGCATAACTTTTAAAAAGTAGTTTTTACATTCAGCGTTCGCAAACATTGACTCTCAAAGAAAGTGTTTGGTTGGCACCAACTCGACGACAAGAACGAACAAAATACCGATATTTTGTTTACGTACTCCTTTCAGATAAATTCAATGCTGCACAATTGTACGAAATTTGCTAAACCATTGCTGTGATAGTAAAGATTTTTACCGAAGTCTTGGTATTTATGGGGTCATTGAAATACAAAGAGAAGAGATTCGTGATACAGTTACCGCACGCTCGAAAACAAAAACAGATTCATCCCTGGATGTACTAAAACGTGTATGTCGAGTGTCAGTGTAAGTAGCATTAGAGACTAAATCTATGTACTCTTAGATAGCAGAGCTAGCACGATTACTAGCCACGGTAGAGACTCTCCTGGTGGGAGCGCACAAATAAACCTTTGTGCGTTTGATAAATCATATACTGAAAGCACATGAGCAGCTCAAACCGCGTCCCCGCTGCATTTGGTAGCATTTGCAGTCAACCCCACGACCCTAAAAGCGTAAGTGCTTGTCTGGATGCACTCACTAGCTATTCGAATATGCTGTCAATACATCTTTAGAAATCTTGCATTACAGACGTCGGCGGGAACATAAAATTACTGCCATCATGAGCTGCTAATGCTGAGTGTTTAGCTCTTTCGTGACGAAGACGGAGAAAATATTTTTTGGGATAAGCGACGTTTATATGATATGGATATCGGTCGTGATTAAGATACAGCAACAGTGCAGTCCGCAGCGATTTGAAATTAGGAGGCCGCAAGAGATAAGAGACACTTACGTAGTATCTATAGAAGATGCATTGCGAAGCGTAAAGGCGATTTGTGTTGCGGGTGTTTGTAAACCTGATCAGGTATTTCGGGTGCGTTCGAAAGTCTTGAATCTCCGCCAAGAATGCTGGTGTTAGAGCGCTATGTACATGGTTTGCGAGCATTTATCATCGTGGTGACGGCAGATCTGATGTCACCTTTGTGGGATAGCCGCTGCTCACGACCAGACCTTCTTCAACCAACTTATCCTATATTTACAAAATTGGTGTAAACTGCAATACAAGTGGAGTATATTTTCTGTATCGCAGGGCCGGTCGGGGTACGGATGGTAGATGTCCTACAAGCGCAGCCTCAGACACACTAAGAAGAAAAATGAAAATCTCTCAGCTACCGATCAACTACTTATTGCTCGCAGATACGACATCAGTGGCACTTTTATACATCTGCGAGTCCCCTTCTCTTTCGGTTGACTTGTTTGAAAGGTCAAGCCCTCGCGCAGGGTTGGCTAACAAGCTCTCGTGAAAAATCCTGATGGGATTAGTGTCGTCGAACAGTTTGGGTGTGGGGTGCGACTATTAAAAAAATATCTTGGAGATACCAAATTCAGGTATGAAATTCAGCGTAAAGTTTTAGTATTTTGATGACTTAGAGCCTTGCTGGGTTCAAATTACGATCTTGTCTTAGCGTTTATATCATGAGCCATAGTTTGACTGATTGTTATGCACTTTTTTCAAGTGGGTAGTTTGGGTAGTCGTGATCCTACCTCTTCTGTAAAGCAGAATCGCTTTTAGCACGGGTACGAAGTCGCGATAGTTTCGAAACTGATATGATTTATCCGAGTTGATGAGCAACAATTTTCCTGGGCGCCTTGAGTCGGTGAATTGGTAGTCAAATACGGCCTGAGGATATAAAACGAAGTAACGATTGTAGATTGCGCCATCTTGTGTGAATTCTGCCGAGACAGGAGTGAGCGACAAGGCCTGTGTATATTTGGTGGGGCGTCTGAAATGGCTGTATGCTGGTGCTTTCTAAACCAGAACTGTACTAAAGAGTAAGAGCAACTATGTTTTGCGGTCGCTTTTGCCAGAGCCTGTGGGAGATTGTGTGATGTGGACTCCTGCGCCAGGCCTAGTGGAGATGAGCAACTGTAAATTGCAAGTAGAAAATTCTACCGTGATCAAAGGCAAATTATTTTGTCGTGATGTATTAGTCTGTATGATTCAGCATTGTCATGTAACGCACCCACCGCGTCTGTCAGTGAGGCTACACGGATTTGTGGCAAGAGAAATTATTTACTCAGGATTAAAGTGTGGAGCCAGTAGGGTATTAGAAATGATAATCCTATCCTCGCTACACCTAGCAAAATAATATATTGTGCTTGACGAAATCATCCGGAGCATGTCTGCAAAACATTGCAAGACGGTGATGTCACCAAAAGTGTACGGGTGTTACCGAAGGACGAGCTGAGCCCATCATTTGCCATGAAAAATACCGTCATTAGGCACTCGCCGGTCAGCGATTTTGTGAAGTAAGCCAGCTACTGTCAATATTTCTACGGGATCGTTTTAATATTACGGCAGGATGATTAGAGGCCCACCATGAGTGGTTCTCTGGACTAGAGAATGCAAAAAAATGACATGTTTCTAAAATCAAATTTCGCATGGGAAAGAGAAACTTCGTACCGACATTTATATCTGAAAGGTCCCACAGCACAGGGAGAACTTTGCTTGTAACACGATAAGTGCTGCGATCACAATGGCGTGAACGCCGATTTCTTGAAAGGTTTGTGCTACCTAATAGCATGATCCGTTTTACTTTGATCAGTGCTTTCAGCCTAATGTATGCTAATTATCGGATGCCGATATAGTACGAAGATTGAGCTTTCATTGTGGCAAGGTTTTACGGCGAAACGCCGTGAAAGAGGCTAATGATGCCACGGAAGCT